TTGCTCTCTTAGAACCAGTCACCATTTTTTTTAAGTTGGTAGGATGGGCCATGTTGAACACAAACTGCATTTTAGAAATTTTATCAGCATGCTCTATGAACTTGCTTCTCAAACTGGAATATTAGGGTATGTATGTGTTTTTACCAGGGAGTATGGGAAGCTACACATAAAAGTATTACTCTTTTAAAGCACCATTTCTAGTTAAAGGTTGATAAGGGTGGAAATATGAAGTACTTTACTTTTTCAGCATTGAAAAATTTTTTTATATTGAAACTAAATGATTCTTAAGAGGCGCAAAGAATTTCACTTATATAGTGGTTGACCATCCTAGAGACCATGAAGGTTGTATTAATTCATTCCATGGAAAACTTTGTATCTTGGAAAATTGTGAGATTAGTGAACGTATCATACCAAAATAGTAAACAAAAACAAAACCTTGCTGGGTTACTGAAAAAAATGATGTTACCAAAGGCACATCTTGCCTTAAATCCTATGTTTTAATTTTTTTTTTCATCTTAACAAACCCCACTTTTAAATAAATCCTTAGTAAAATGCAGATTTATTTGGGGTTATTAATTTATAACAGGATTGATTGTGATACTCCTTTAAATAGCTTGCTTCTTCAGTTTACAAATGTTCATTATATTCATAATGTTCAGGCCTGTGCAGGGAAAGCTGGTGGTAGATTTTTAGTTTTTTTTAACATTACAAAACATTCTGGTAAAGACATTAAAAGGTTATAAGTTGGGAAACCTGTATAGCCAGTGTGTTTTTTAGGTTGGCATGTATAAGCAATATTGATATAATTTTCTTTTGTTTCATTCTAAATACTGAGCTTAGGGATTGAATTTGCCATCTGTTTTTTATTATTAAGTATGACCATTAAAACAAGAATATTTGATTTGTAGAGTGACATAAATGTATTCTTTGGAGTATCCAGATGGAAATTGTGGCACAATACTTTTTTATTTCAGTGACTTCAGAAAGAAGGTAGGGTTTAGGAGGGTATCTGGGGAACCTTTCAATAGGGTAATTGTGGGGATAGCAAATTAAGTACAGTCATGTGTTGCTAACAACAGGGTTACATTTTGAGAAATGTGTGGTTAGGTGATTTAGTCATTGTACGAACATGGTAGAGTGTTAATTTACCACAAATTGAGATGGTTTAGCCATCTATCACACACCTAGGGTGTATGGTTATATATAGCATAGCCTGTTAGTCCCAGGCTACAAACCTATACAGCATGTTACTATACTGAGTACTGTAAGCAGTTCTAACACAGTAGTATTTGTGTATCTAAACATAGAAAAAGTACAGTAAAAATATGGTATAAAAGAAAAAATGGTACAATGTTTTTTTAGCTTAATCTTTTCTTTTTAAAATATTATTTCAAGAAGTTTTTGGGGAACAGGTGTTTGGTTACATGAATAATAAGTTCTTTAGTGGTGATTTCTGAGTTTTTGGTGCACCCATCACCTGAGCAGTGTACACTGTACCCAATGTGTAATATTTTGTCCCTCACCCCCCTCCCACCCCAAAACGGTATACTTGTTTAGGGCAGTTAGCTTTCAGGACTGAAAGTTGCTCTGAGTGAGTCAGTGAATGAGTGGTGAGTGAATGTGAAGGCCTAGGATGTTACTTATAAGATTTTATAACCACTACACTTAGGCTGTACTACATTTGTAAAAGAAAATAAATAATTGTGCTATGACATTATGACAGCTACAGCGTCACTAGGCAATAGGAATTTTTCGGCTTCGTTATGACATTATGGGAACACTGTTGCATATGTGGCCTGTTATTGAAATGTCGTGTGGCGCATGATTGTAGTGGGCATGCTATTCGGGAGTGTATTTTCTTTGTGGAATTTGCCATCTAATAGCAGAGAGAAGTATAAAACATTTTCTTTTAGTAGAAAGTTAAGTCAGAGGCTGGGCGAGGTGGCTTACACATGTAATCCTAGCACCGTGGGAGGCCAAGGCAGGTAGATCACCTGAGGTCAGGAGTTGGAGACCAGCCTGGCCAAGATGGCGAAACCCTGTCTGTACTAAAAATACAAAAATTATCTGGGCAAGGTGGTGTATGCCTCTAATCCCAGCTACCCAGGAGGCTGAGGCAGGAGAATCACTGGAACCCTGCGGGGCAGAGGTTGCAGTGAGCTGAGATTGTGCCACTGCACTTCAGCCTGGGTGACAGAGCAAGACTCTGTCCTCCCTAAAAAATAAGAAAAGTCAGAAAAAGTATACTTTGTTCTTTTGGTTTTAGTGTGATTTAGACTTGAATGAAGAAGAAAAATGGCAGTTGGTAGAATTGGTGTCGTTATCAGGTTTCAGATTCTTAGTTGGAGTTTTCTGATTTGTCACTATATTCGTTGTTCATCCAAACATGTTTAATTTACCTCATCTGTAAAACTGTTTAGATTGCAAATTTTCATAATGTGGCTAATTACTTTTATAATGATGAATATTTAAAACAAAATAAATTATGATAGAGGAACTTGTATCTTGAAGTTTCTTGTGCTTTAAGTAGGAGATGAACTGGAAGTATAAATTAAATTGTTTGAGAGTTTTTTGGTTTTTCTTTTTGCTTGATAAACAGGAAATTCTGGATATGCGATAGTAAATGTTTGAGGCTTGTCTAACAAAGTGCTCCATCAGTTTTCTGTCCTTGCTATTTTGGAGGGGAAATTTTTTGTTTTGAGGATATAATTTCTATGATATGATAAATACCATAATAAAAAATGGCAAATATGATAATATGAGTCCAGATTGCAATGGGAAAGAAATGTAGGAATTAGAAAAACATCTACAGCAGCTCTGGAAAACAAGAAAATATGAAATCAATAAACCAAAAAATATTCAGGCTTTCTAGAAAGATGTAAGGCAGACAAGATTAAGTTACTGAAAACCATTAGTATTAAAACAGCTTGTACCACACATAAGGGAAAGTATCTGGTTTCTGAGTAGAAAAGTAGACTTGCTTACAAATTCACCTAGCTTAGAGATGACAGGGCTAGGGCAGAGAAATGGCCCTGTGAGCAGTATCAAGGTGATTAGAATACTGCAGAACTGATGAATATTGAAGAAAAATCTCTCTTGCTTTTTTTTTTTTTTTTTTTAACCACATTTAAGGGCAAAGCCTACTCATAAAATCTGATAGCCTTCCATTATGGGGTTGACGGAGATGGAGGAGACTCTTGAGGGAAGTAAAGCAGTGACTTGCACCAGCCGTCAGTACAGAACAATCTGGATTTAAAAAGACGAAGACAAAGAAGAAACACTGGATATTACAGGAAAACTTAACTGTAAAAGGGAGGACTTGTACTAAAGCAAAGCAAATTGCTCAGAGATAATAGTTTATATAGAAAATAACAACATTTTTAGTTAGTATTAGGAAGATACAGTATTGAGAAAGGAACAATGAACAAGAAATTCTTGACAATTAAAAATATCATTGCCAAAAAGTCAAAAAGTAGAGAAGGTTGTAGAACTGTAATCCCGGAACTTTGGGAGGTCAAGGTGGGAGGATCACCTGAGGTTGGGAGTTTGAGACCAGTCTGACCAACATGGAGAAACCCTGTCTCTACTAAAAATACAAAATTAGCAGGGTGTGGTGGTGCATGCCTATAATGCCAGTTACGTGGGAGACTGAGACAGGACAATCTCTTGAACCCAGGAGGCAGAGATTGCTGTGAGCTGACATCGTGCCATTGCACTCCAACCTGGGCAACAAGAGCGAAACTCTGTCTCAAAAAAAAAAAAAAAAAGATCCAGAATACTAAGTTGATTCCAAAGCTGCTCTCAGAACATTTGTTGATCTCTAGAGGCTTGCAGTTAAAGGCCACATGAATTTGAGGAGAGAGATCTTTGAGCCTTCATTAGATGAAGAGTTAGAATTGAGAACCGTGCAGTGGAAAAACATACTCAAAGTGCATTTTCCTATTCTTATACTCAACAATTAACACAGAAGACGTCTGTGATCTTGAAATATGTGGGATTTCTCCTCACCAGCAAGTGAGCAGTCAGTTCTGCAGACACCAGCTGGTGTCATCCAATTCAATTCTTTTTTTTTTTTTTTGAGACGGAGTCTTGCTTTGTTACCAAGCTGGAGCGCAGTGGTGCGATCTTGGCTCACTGCAACCTCCACCTCCTGGGTTAAAGCAATTCTCCTGCCTTAGCCTCCCAAGTAGCTGAGACTATAGGCTTGTGCTACCATGCCTGGCTAATTTTTTGTATTTTTAGTAGTGACAGGGTTTCACCCAGTTAGCCAGGATGGTCTTGATCTCCTGACTTCTCAATCCACTGGCCTCAGCTTCCCAAAATGTTGGGATTACAGGTGTGAGCCACTGCTTCTGGCCCCGTTTTTTCTTTTAGAGACAGAGTCTCGCTTTATTGCCCGGGCTGGAGTACAGTGGCACAATCTTGGCTCACTGCAACCTGTAACCTCCGCATCCTGGGTTCAAGCTATTCTGCCTCAGCCTCAGTAGCTGGGAATACAATACAGGCACATGCTACCATGCTTGGTTAATTTTTGTATTTTAAGTAGAGATGGGATTTCACTGTGTTGGCCAGGCTAGTCTTGAACTCCTTACCTGAAGTGATCTGTCTATCTCATCCTCCTAAAGTGTTGGGATTATACGTGTGAGCCACTGTGCGTGGCTCCTCCAATTCAATCCTGACACTACCTACCTGAAGACAGCATCAAATCCCACAAGTTGAGGGCTCAGTCCCACAAAACTGCCCACTACTTGTGATGCCAGTTGCAAGCCCAGGTGGTGGTGGTTCTTTTCTTTTTTTGAGACAGGATCTTGCTCTGTCACCCAGGTTGGAGTGCAGTGGTGTGAACAGAGGTTACTACAGCCTCAACTTTCTGGGCTCATGTGATCCTCCCACCCAAGTAGCTGGGACTACAGGTTCACATCACACCTGACTAATTTTTAAATTTTTTGTAGAGATGAAGTCTTACCATGTTGCCCAGACTGGTCTCAAACTCTTAGGCTCAAGCAGGTCCTCCCACCTTGCGCTTCCAAAGTGCTGTGATTCCAGGTGAGAGCCACGGTTCCTGGCTCCCCCAGGTTGTTTTACCTGTGCTTCTGACTGACCAGCTATACATCAGGGATCCCACATCTTTTCCTTGGTTTCATTTAAGTTGATGAAGTGGCTTACAGAACCCAGGGAAATACGTTTACCCTTTTATTGTAAAGGATATCACAAAGGATATAGCTGAAGAGATGGATAGGGTAAGGTATAGGAAGGGGCATAGAACTATGCCTTCTCTGAGTGTGTCACCCTACAGGAACCTTTATGTTTTCAGCTATCTGGAAGCTCTCAGAAGCCTGTCCTGTTGCTACTTTTATGAAGACTTCATTGGTTAGGCATGACTGAAGAAGTATGGACAACTGTCTAGAAATGTGACTGAACAAAAAGGGTCTGAGCTAATACTAACAGACTGAGTAGGAAAACCTAGAAAGACCATTTCAGATTCTTCTTAGCCTCTCTGTGCACTGTTAATTTCTCCAGCGTATGGGAGAACCCCTTCTGATTGTTACCTGCAATTGGACAATGTAGGTCAGAGAGTTTCTTTATGGGCAGCTGCAAGATGGAAAGGCAGGGGAAGATTCTTGCCTTGGGGAGAAAAAGGAGCAGGTGAAACGAAGGCAAGAGAACATCAGAGAGACTTTCTTCTGAGGCCTGCTTCTGAAGGCCAGTATATAACAAGGACTGTGAGTGTTACGAAACCGGAACCATGGGCGAAAACCTGTATCATCTGTCTATCTTTCACAACTGCATATAAAGCCAGGATTTTTCACAATAAGGCTTCAGTGAAAGGGCGCCTAGAAAATTAAATTTATTTTCCATGATAAAGACATCAGAGAAGTTTTCTTCTCTTGGGCTTTTGGTATGAGACTGAAAAGTTTCCACTAAAAACTTTTGAACATTAGTCTGACTTCATGAGGGTATGGGATTGTAATTTATACTACCTGAATAGTTTAGGAAACTAGAGACAGATAAAATTATTTAAAAGCAGTCAAATAAATGTTGGCAGTGCTACAAAGCACCTAATAGAAAAGTGAATTCTCTTCAGAGGGATGCTCCTTCAAATATGCCTATTGATAGAGTCTAAATGAAGTGTTTTCATATTCCAAGATTACAAAAATATGAGAAACTCAGCAATCATGAACAAGAGTGAGCAGGAAAGACAGATAGCAGAATTTGACCTCTGTGAATGTGAGATTTTGAAATTACTTGATAAGGCAATGGACTATAAATGAACAAAATGTTTCAAAAGAATTAAAAGGGAGGGGGGAGTTAAAAACATCAGCAGGGAGCAAAATACTGTTAAAAAAATACCAGGTAGATCTGAAAAATAATAGCACTTCTAGAAATTAAAAATATAATAATGAACTTGAAAAATATTAAATGGGTTAAGTAGATTGAACTCAGTTGAACAGAGAATTAATGAACTTGAAGACAGATTTGAAGAAAACCCAGATATGGAAACATGAAAGAGATGTTTAGGGTCAGAGGAATAAATGTCTAATGTATATGAAATTGGAATTTCAGAAAAGAAAAATGAAGGGACTGACAGTTGGTGTCCAAAGAAAGAATGACTGAGAAGGTCCCAAAATTAAAGGATGGGACTCATTAGAATGAAGAAGTATGATTAATGCAGAGGAAGAAAAATAATTGTATAATACTGAAAACTAAGAGAACCTTTTTTTAGCAGCCAGAAACAGATTATCTACAAAGCTATAGAAATTAGACTGGCAGCAGACTTCTAAACTATAACAATACATGGTAGAGATGGTAGAGTTAGGCCATCAAATGCTTAGAAAAACAAATGTCATCCTAGAGATAGTAATTGGCAAAATCATTCAAAACCAAGGATTTTGAAATAGATTTTTCAGACAACATCAGGTTGATAAATGAAAATCTGACTACATTGTGTTGGTGAGTATGTGGAACAATGGGAACTGAGCTGGTGGCAGTATAAACAACTGCTTTTGAGAGTAATTTGGTAATGTCTAGTAGGTTTTAGTGTACATTTCTCCAGTAATCCAGGAGTTCTACCCATGCATACATATATATCTTAGCATTGTTTGTTGATCTGTTTTCACCATGATATAACTGAGATCACATTTTTGGTAAACAAAATTTATTCTTCCTACAGGCAGTACCTTTGATCTGTCTCTGTGCCTCATCACTTCGTTCACCTTTTTTTCCCCCTTGACTCCCATCATTCTCTCTCTTTTTTTAAGCTGTTTGTGCTCCTGGCTCACTAATGTGATATTATTGATGGGTTACAAACTGCAGTTTGGAAAACACTGCCTTAAATAAACAAAGAGAACAAAGATAGTGATATTCATAGGAATATTGTATATAAGAATGAAAAACTTGAAGCCATGTTAATAAGCTCAAACAAATGGAAAATGGGTAAATAAACTGTGGTATATCTAAGGATCTTGAACTAGAAATTATAATAAATCAGTGAATTACAATGCCTATATTCAATGAACACCCTTACAAATACAATGTTGAGTATATAAGACGAATTGCAGAAGAGTATATAGTATGATATTCATATGAAGCTTAAAAATACAAAGCAATTGTATATAATTTTATGAGTATACACATATATAAAAACATATAAAGAAATTCATGGAAATGATAAACACCAAACCCTGGGAGTGAAAAAGAAAGGTATTTCTGTTATCTAGATAATACTTTTTTTTTTTTTTCTTTAAGCTAGGTCGTGAACACTAAGGTGTTTATTAAATAATGTCTTATACTCCTGTGTAAATCTAAAATATTTTAAAGAAAAATTTTTAAAATGGAAGTGGCAATATAAACAAATTGAAATTTCTCAGAAAATACAGCAGAAAGAGTTGAACATTATGAGAGAAAAGTTTGAGACCTGTAGAATAGATCTGGGATATCAGTATGTGTGAAATAGGAATTCCAGAAAAAAAATTATACTGCATGTGGCAGAGGTAGATAATAAAATGGTAGTATAAATTTGTTCTAAGCTGAAAAAACCCTTAAAATAAGGCCTACAAAATCACATTTTGTAAAATCAAATATTTGTAAAACTTCAAAATTTCAAGTATCAAAAGAAAATGAAGTTCCCAGATAAACAGCAGGTATACCCTAACAAACAATCAGATTGACATATGATTTTTTTTTTTTTTTTAATGCTGCACTGGATACTAAGGAACAGTAGAAACATTCCTGTAGAATTCTGAGATACAAGTATTGTTAACGAATGTCATGGGTTTTTGTCTAGGTCCTGTTGCTCACTACACAGAAAGTCAGTTGCTGAGATAATGATTATTGCCAAAGAAGAAGGCTTTAATCCCGTGTTGCTGAGGAGACAGGAGATCAGTCTCAGATCCATCTCCCTGATAGACTAAAACTAGGGGCTTATATAGCAGGGAAGAAATGTAGCAATATGCAAGAAAACAGGAATTAGAGAGGGGCAAGGAAGCAATCATGATGAATGAGGAGTCTGGTATCTATCTCATTGTCTGGTTGTGGTGATCTGGTGAGTTTCAGTTATTTGATACTTTTTTGGGGAGGCCTGAAAGTCATTTCCTTAGGAAGGAACTCAGATAAAACAAATAGAATTTTCAGGCTTCAAGACCAGAGGATCAGTTTCTATGTTTATTTAAACACACTCACACAAAACAAAACAAAACAAAAGCTATCTGTGGGACTGTTGGGTCAGTTTCAGTATTATGGCCCTAAAGGCCTTTGTGCAACAAAACTGTTCTTTGAGGATAAAGGCAAAATATATTATTTCCGAAGGACTGTGAACCTATAATATTTAAGCAAAATGAAATGAATCAGAATGGAGAATTCTGGACCAAAAAAGCGAAAGGTTTATGTTAAGCATTTGTGAACAAAAACAACAAGCCAAAACCCAAACAGTAACATTTAAGGTTAAATATAAAGAATTATTTAAAATGTACTTTGAAGTATAATGTAATTTTTGAGAAAATATTCCTGATATGATGGAGCTTATGAAAGAAATGACAACTGGGAAATAAAATTCTAGGTAACTTAATACAAGCTGTGCTACAGCAAGTGGGAGTGGAGCAAAGAGGGGAAGGTAAAAGAATACTATGGATGGCATACTATGCAAAGAGTTTCTATGCACAGGAATGAATATTTTATACTTCTTGATGTTTATGACAAAATACAGACTGAAATACGTGTTGAAAATTTGAGACTTTTCTTAAAAGAAGGCAAATGATCAACTCAAACTTTCTCATACCTGTTTGAAAGAACTAAAAATGTCTTTAAAAACAAACAGGAAAAAAAGCCTGTAACAGCATTGGGTATTAAGAAAGAGTGACATTGGTGCAGCAAACTTGGGGGAATTCCCTGATGATAGAAAGTAGATGGACTGATAGAGGCAGAAGAATAAGAGCAGAGAAGACCACAACTGAAAGTGAAAACTTCCTGAAGTTCAGTGGACCTCAAAGAACTCTTATTTGTGTTAACACTTTGAAAGAACTGGAGTGGATGGGAGGTGGTGATGTGATCATCAGAGTAATTAATTTAAAAACTGCCTGTAGGCTGGGCACAGTGGCCCACACCTGTAATCCCAGCACTTTGGGAGGCCAATCTGGGTAGGTCTCCTGAGGTCAGGAGTTTGTATTCACTTTGCCAACATGGTGGAACCCTGTCTCTACTAAAAAAAAAAAAATACAAAACTTAGCCAGGCCTGGTGGCGAGCACCTGTAATCCCAGCTACTTAGGAAGCTGAGGCAGGAGAATCACTTGAATCCAGGAGTCAGAGGTTACAGTGAGCCGAGATTGCATCACTGTACTCCAGCCTGGGTGACAAGAGCAAGACTTTGTCTCAACAAAAACAAACATAACAAACCGAGGCTGGGCATGGTGGCTCACACCTGTAATCCCAGCACTTTGGGAGGCCCAGGCAGAGGGATCACCTGAGGTCAGAAGTTCAAGAGCAGCCTGGCCAATATGGTGAAACCTGTCTCTACTAAAAATATAAAAATTGGCTGGGCATGGTGGTGGGTGCCTGTCATCCCAGCTAATCGGGAGGCTGAGGCAGGAGAATCACTTGAACCTGGGGGGCGGAGTTGCAGTGAGCCAACATCACATCACTGCACTCTAGGCTGGGCGACAAGCAAAACTCCATCTCAAACAACAACAACAACAACAACAACAACAACAACAAAAACCAAAACTGCCTGTAGTAGCTGGATTCTTCCCTTCCTCACTTCCTCGTTCATACTGAATGATAGTAGCAGGATATTTTTCTCAAGGATAGAGTCATGGCTTCTGTTCTGCATATGATGATTCTAGAGAAGTGTTCTGTTACATGTGTTGGAGTTGGAAAGAGCCTGATAACTCTATAACTCTATCAGTAACTCATGGGAAGAAGGAAAGGAAAGATGGCTGTGTATGTGTGTAATACATGAAACACTCTATCTCAAAAGTAAAGCCTTCCTTATATTGGTAGTCTTGGGGGTTCCAGCCCGTAAATCTGCTTTATGAGCACACACTCTAAAACATGCTGCTTGATGTGTTCCACCCACATTTAGTGTGAAATATGCTCTCCCATTCAGGGAAGATGCTTTCAGAGAGGGACATACACTGTAGAAGTATAGGAGAAACCCAGACCAGTTAGATTGTTCTGGAATACTGTTCACAAATTTGGCTATCAAGGATCACCATAAAACCAACTATACCAAATAGAAAGTGAACTAAGGAAAACCTGACCCCTGGAAAATGAGAATGATACCAGAAATACATTGAACTTAAATGTAATTTATATCCTCAGATTTCAGAGGACAAGGTAGCTAAAACTCCAAATCAGGCTATTCTGAAAGAAGCAATAGGTGAAGTTCTCAGAAACTAAAAATCTGATGGTTAAAATTAAAAAAATAAAGAAGTACTGAAAATTGAATCAGTGATTTAGAAGTAAAGTTGAAGAAACATTCTAGAAGCTAAAGATAAAAAATATGAACAAATGATTAAGTGACATGGGGCATGGAACCAGGTATTTTAATCTTTAGAGGAGGGGGAGACAGGAGGAGGGGAGAAAAGAAATAACAGAGCACAGTACCTAATGCCATGGTGTGTTACATAAATATTAAAGAGATGAGTGAGATTTTTAAATACTTGTGAAAAGATGGTCAGGATATATTAAGTGAAGAAGGACATTGTGAGAGCAGTATGCATAGTATGGTATTTGCAGTTAAAGGTATATGCATATTCAAATGTGAAAGGATATGAAGTACTAATAATGGTTACGTTTGGGGAAAGGATGGAAGAGTGAGAGAGGAATTATTTTTAAATATATAATGTTATTTTGAAAATAACACTTTTATTTTAAAAAATGAAAGAACTCAAAGTTATGTTGGAGAGGAAGGGAGAAGAGCAACATGAGGGTAGAAGTCCTTACCCAAATAAGCCATTTAAATTTACTCATAATCTCAAGCCTATAGTTTTTTTTTTTTTTTTATATAATAACATGTACTTTTCTGTTGCTTCTTAGTAACTATCTCCCTCCCCTATTATTCCTGGACGCTCACAGAAGTATATTTTCAGACATTTCTCTGAACCTTCCCTTTTACCCAAAGTATGATGGGAGTGGGGGTGTGACTGATAATTCCCTTATTGCACATGGATTTTGTGAGAGATGATATAGATGGGAAGAATAACTTAAAGTAAGAGTGTCTTTAAATTCTAGATATTGGTTTATTAATAAAGAATAGTATGAATCCATCTTTTGTGGAATGAGTCAGCATATAAATAAAATAATGAATGGTAAAGAGAAAAAACAAGGAGAATAATATATTCAAGAGGTATATCCTGGTGGGTATTTTTGAACTGAGAGTAGGAACTGATTGGTATCAGAATAGTAACGTGTAAGTATAATCACAGAGGTTTGAAGTGGTATTCTGGACCACTTGAAAGGCTCATCCTGTTTGTGAGGAGATGGATATGATCCTTGGTTTCAATATGCCACATCTACTATAAACTTCTGAACCCTCCACCATCATTCAGGATGCATCTCTCATGGTTGAAGAAGTGGTGGAGGATGGCATAGGAGAGAGTGCCTGAGGATCCTTGCCTGGAACAAGTTATGGAAAGAAAATCTTTCAGGTATTCTTCTTACATATTTTACTTGGTTGCTGTGTTTTTATGGGATAAAATAGTTCTCTTTCTGGAGAGAGTGGGTTGGTGGGAGTTGGGAGGAGGGAGATGGATGGGTTGGAGTAGAGCAGTGGTTTTCTTTTCCAAGGGTGGTAGAGGAATTAGGAGAGAACAGTAGTGTCTTTCTGTCTTTTTTGTTTTTCTGTTCTTGGACAACTTTTCTGTCATCTTCATAAATAAGTTGTATCAGAGTTCTTGAATTGCAGACTCACTTATGTGATAATATGATTCATCAGAAACATTTAGATACACAGCATGCTGACATAATAGTATTAGCTCTCAATAACTCTTAGAAACCAATGGGAAATGTTTAGATCTGTGCATTGTACTAAATTTTAAATATTTTGAATATATGCTTACAAATCTTATTTGTAACTAACTTGTTGATGATTTCTTCTTTGGTTATGTTAATTAGCTATTTAACCATTTGACATTCTGATTTATTTCTCAGGCTTGAAGATGTTAACACTGCTATGCATTTTAATTAAGTAGTTAATTAACTGATGCTCCCTAAGTCTTAAGTTCCTGATTTTTCTCTAGAATACCAGAAACTTAAGTGCCAAGAGCTCAGAGAATGGCTTCCAGGACAGCTCTAGCTCTACTGCGGCTTAAAAAATTACAAGCAGAGGCTGGGCATGGTGGCTCACGCCTGTAATCCCAGCACTTTGGGACTCCTAGGTGGATGGATCACAAGGTCAGGAGATCGAGACCATCCTGGCCAACATGGTGAAACCCCGTCTCTACTAAAATACAAAAAATTAGCCGGGCGTGGTTGTACGCGCCTGTAGTCCCAGCTACTCGGGAGGCTGAGGCAGGAGAATCACTTGAACCCGGGAGGCTGAGATTGCAGTGAGCCAAGATCGTGCCACTGCACTCTAGCCTGGTGACAGAGCAAGACTTTGTCTCAAAAAAAAAAAAAAAAAAAAAAAAAAAAAAAAATTTTTTTTTTTTTTTTTTTTTTTTTTTGGTAAACCATATGTCAGGGGATTTCTCAGAGGTTTTCTAGAAATTCTCTTATTGGAAGTTTTAGAAACACTATCTTCAGTTGTATTGGTGATAATTGATAATTCTGTTGTCCTTTTTAAATTATAATATAAAAAGTATGCATGAGTATGTGGGGGAAGTTGTTTTCAAAAACAAAGCAGTTGGAACTTCTGTAACAATTGTTAAGTGGAAGTAAACAAAGATAAGTCAGCATAAAATTGGTCAAGGTAAAGTAAGTGAAATGAAACATATAATGGTATAGAGTTTTTTTTTTTTTTTTTTTTTTTTTTTTTTTTAAAATAATTTTTTGTATTATTTTCTCCTCTTCTTTTTTTTTTTTCTAGCTTGGGCTCTAGGAAAAGAGCCTTTTATCCCATCTTGTCTTCTAGTCCATTTTGAATCAAGACTCGTTGAGGACTTCTTTGAGAAGAATCTGTGTTGAAGAAGGAAAAAGAAACACTGTTTGAGAGAAGGCAAACAGGCAAAAAGGATGATAGAAGCATGCATTTTTGTTGTATATATATCTCTAAGAGACCTTCCTAGAGTGAAAGTTGAGAACTGAAAAGGGAGTAAATTAAGGAATGACTGAATTTTGTGGATCTTGATGGAAAAACGCTGGCCTTTTTTTAATGTGGTAAAACAGCTGGTGCTTCAGTCCTAGGAATTATGTCTCTGCCATGGGCAGTTATCATAAACTCTTCTCACAATCAGAACCGCTCTTTGTCCTCTGTGAATGATGGCACTTTTGCTTCTATTTCATTAATGCTTCCAAGGATGAATGAAAATATATAGCATCTGCCAAAACCTAAAAATTACAGTTTATCACTAGGGCTCTGTAAGGTACTTCACTTGCAGTTTAAAATTATTTAATGCTCAAAAACAATCATTGTGGGTTTTTGTCACTAAATATTAATTTTTCAAGATGAAGTATGATGACTTCTATCCATTTTTGTGGTCAATTTTCTCAGTTTTCTTTCCCATAGATACTGTGATGGAACTTAGATTTTATTTTTTACACTTAAATAACTATGTTTTTAATGATACATAATCATATAATTTTTTTGTTTTCCTTGAGGTCTTAACAGATCTTATATTAGTGTATATGTCAAAATAAAAATTTTTACATAGTTAATATGCTGTAGTATTAAGGATATTGATTTTCTGTTAAATGTTGAGCTTGGTGTTGATATAAACCCTGATCCTAAATTGTAAATTAATACTTGGAAATTAATAAGAGTGTAACTATGTTACATAGAAAGCACCTTGCGAATCGGTTTGTGTGGGTTTTTTTTAAATTTAATTTTTATTAAAAATTTTTTTTTGGTATGTAATTATATTCTTTCAGGTAACTTTTCTGTGGAAGATAAGAGGAAGACTTTGTTTTTCAACCTATAATTGTTTCAGCTCTCCAGGCTAATAATAATAATTCTGGGCCGGACATGGTGGCTCATGCCTCTGTAATCCCAGCACTTTGGGAGCGGAGGTTGGCGGATCATGAAATCAGGGGTTTGAAAGCAGCCTGGCCAACATGGTGAAACCCTGTCTCTACTAAAAATACAAAAAATTAGCCTGGTATAGTAGTGGGTGCCTGTAATCCCAGCTTCTCAGGAGGCTGAGGCAGGAGAATTTCAACCCAGGACGCTGAGGTTGCGATGAGCTGAGATTGCGCCACTGCGCTCCAGCATGGGCGACAGAGGGAGACTCTGTCTATTAAAAAAAAAAACAACAGAATTCTGCAATTTGTTTCTCATTCTTCAGTCATTTAGATACAATTGTGATGCATTTTGAACATAATATCTCTATAATAAAAAATGTATTTTCAAAGAGGATTTCTTGATTGAAAGTCCCCCTTGTACATCAGGTTCTCTTCTGAATGCTGTCTTACTGGCAGGACAGAGTAAATGTGAGCGAATGTGTATACGTAAGGGTGTGACTTTAATATAATCTGACATGGTTTGCACAAGCATGTTGATCACTGCATTGCTTGTAGTAGTAAAAAGTTAGGGATAACTTTAATACACATCAAGAGGGAGAATGGTTGCAGTGGAACATTATGGAGCTCTTAAGTTGGTTCCGTCTGTTGTCGTTAAGAACTGATATTTTAATAAGTGAAAAAAGCAAGTTATAATTCATAAAGTATCCTAAGAAACATTGTATTTCTTTTTTTTTTTTTTTTTTTT